CCTGTTGTGAGGCTATAGTGTATGCCTGTTGTGATGCTACAGTGTATACCTGTTGTGAGGCTATAGTGTATACCTGTTGTGAGGCTATAGTGTATACCTGTTGTGAGGTTATAGTGTATGCCTGTTGTGATGCTATAGTGTACGCCTGTTGGGATGCTATAGTGTACACCTATTGTGAGGCTATAGTGTATGCCTGTTGTGATGCTATAGTGTGTGCTATAGTGTACGCCTGTTGTGAGGTTATAGTGTACGCCTGTTGTGAGGCTATAGTGTTTATCTGTCGTGAGGCTAAATGAAAGGCTGGCACTTTGAAAGTACCAGCTGCTCCACAGAAAGAAAGAGGAACGTCTCCTCCCCTAAAGGTTTAGCGCCTCAGGGACTCAGCGGAGGGATACCATTAAGGAATGGTACCAGATGTTGGAATCAACTCAACAGTAGTAGTGTGCTTGGTTTTTGGCTTCATGCCCACAATAGGAAAGTGATTAAATGCACTTTAGGATATTAATTTAACAAATAAGGGAGCTCTGGTGGTGTGGTAGGTAAGAAGCTGTGCAGCAATCCCAAAGGCACGTGGTTCGAATCCACCAGCTGCTCCAAGGGGGAAAGACGGGCAATTTCCTCTGGTGTGACTGACTGCCTCTGAAAACCTGGTGGAGGGTCAGCTAGGAGTTGGGTTCGACTTGATGGCACACAACAAAAAGTTCTTAGGGGACACAAGTCCTGAAAGTGGAGGGTCAGCGAAAGAGAGCAAGACCTTCAATGAGATGGGTGGACAGTGACTGAACGATGGGCTGGAGCAAAGTTAAGATCAATTGGGTCACTAAGAGTTGTCATCAACTTGATGGCACCTAACAACAATGGAGCTGCTGAAATAAACAAAGGGAGCTCTGGAGGCCTAGTGGCAAGAAGCTGTGCTGCAATCACGAGGGTGCAAGGTTTGAAGCCATGATATGCTCTGCTGGAGAAGGAGGGGCAATCTTCTGTGCCAGTCGGATTGGACTAAAGGGTACACAACAAGAAAAAGGGGGGGGGAGCAAACAGGAATGATGTAATCCACCGCATCAACAGAGAGCTGATAAATGAATATATATACATCTGATAGATGTATGCTGAATAGTGTCTGATAGAACTATGCTGAATTCCAATTTTATGTGTTTAGGCTGGAATCCCACTGGTAAGGAGCAACCGTGTTCTTTCACTAAAAGTGTGCACACCTGTGTGTGTGGATCACAGAGACAAGCAGCACACTGGCAGCTGTGGGCTTCAAGTTATTTAAATGCAGTGGATATACATGCTGTGATGTCACCAAGCTATACAAGGTCTCCATGCACTGTAAATGCACATATGGACTGGTACAGGTACTAAATAGAGTTACGAAGCTATGAAAAGATTTTGAGTATAGTAATAAAGAGACTGAATTAAGATGACATTAGAGAACTAAAAAACCTCACGAACACACACAAAACACTATCAGGCACACTATGAAGCACAGCTCTAAAGGACTTCTTCACTGATTAGAGCTCTGTTACCCTTAGAAGCTGACTGCGGAGTTCCCAGGACTGCTACGTGATCTCGATCCAGGATGTGGAGCGTCGCACCATTTCCAGCATCACCAGACACGACCGCCTTGAGCAACAATGACCTGACTACAACCTGATTCTTTTCAGGATCACCTGGATGTGTTGGTATCAGGGTTTCATATATGCTTCCATCAGAACCTGTTAGAAACAAGTACTTTTTATTTGTTATTGAATAAAAGTCAGTTTTAGCTCTACTTCAGGTTAAATAACACTGTTTATAAATGTAACCTCATAATAATATTTAATGTTGCTTCTATAAATATGCAATAACTGTAAAATTTACTAATTTTTTTATGTGAATAAAAGAATTTCAGTAAGGAATATAATAGCCAAGAAATAAAGTATTAAAGGAGATTGCTAGGAATATAAGAAATTAGTGACTCAAAAGTATATACATCTCAGTAGAAATGAATTAATATTCTTATTATTCAAGTACTCTGAAGATGCTAGGAAACTTCTGTGTTCTGGAGGCTGATTAAATTTTGGCAGTTTCGTGTAGTTTCATATTATACAAAAATTTATGGGAGCTCTGGCAGCCTAGTGGCAAGAAGTTACACTGCAATCCCAGAGGTACACAGTTCGAATCCACCAGATGCTGTGCTGGAGAAGGAGGGGCAAACTCCTCCTGTACCAGTCAAATCTGATTTGACAGTGCACACATTCAGATGGCCAACAAGCACATGAAGATATGTTAAAAATCTCTAGCTCTAAGAGAGATGCAAATCAAAACAACTATGAGATATCATCTCACCCCAGTCAGAATAGCAAAATTTAACACAACAGCAAGCAACAAATGCTGGTGAGGTTGTGGAGAAAGTTGGTGGAAGTGTAAAATGGTGCAACCACTGTGGAAAGTGGTGTGGGGCTTTCTCAAAAAGTTGAAAATAAGATAAAATAAAAAAAAAAAAGGGGAGCTCTGGTGGCCTAGTGGCAAGGAGCTGCAACTACAATCCCAGAGGCGAACGGTTTGAATCCACCAGTTGCTCTGCCGGGGAAGGAGGGACAATCTCCTCCTGTACCAGTCAGATCTGATTTGACAGTACACGCACACAAAAATAATAAAATTAAAAAAAAAAAGTTGAAAATACACATACCATTTAACCCAGCAATACCACTACTGGGAATATACCCTAAAGAGACCATAACCGACATCCAAGCAGACATATATGCACACCCATGTTTATTGCGGCTTTGTAAACAATAGCAAGGAGTTGGAAACAACCCAGGTGCCCATCAACAAATGAATGGATAGAGAAGCTGTGGTATATTCACACAATAGAATACTATGCGGCACTGAAAAATAAGGAACTCATGCAATATTATTTAAAATGGGGGACCCTGAAGGACACTATGCTGAGTGAAATATCACAGTCACAAAAGGACAAATACTGCATGGTGCCACTGTTGTAGAATGGGACTGACATCAGGGTTGGGGTAAGACCGAGAAAAACTGGATAAATTACGTATACTGCATTGAAACAGATAAGGGAGAAAATACTTTAAAAGCGATATATGATAGGGTACTATGATTATCACAAGAGTTCAGAATTAAGGTTGTATAGTGCAGTGCAATTGGGGCAGTGGGAAGGGTGCGGGGGGATTGTATACCAAAGAAAGAATTTTTGTTTTACTTTTCAAAGAGAGGAGTGAACTGGGGTGGGGAGGAAGGGCTGGGAAGGGAGAAAAATGCACAATGGATGAATGGAAAGCCAAAATCTCTGTAAATGTTCATTACTAAAATAAAATTTTTTAAAAAAATTACATGACCCTTTGGTTCAGACTTCCTTACTTCAGTGCTCATGGGGGAAAAATGTAACTAGTCAAGTTCCTTTCAATAATAAAATTGCCCTACTGGTTAAAGAAAACCAGTCTCTCTTAAACAAGGGCAAAAGTACACTCCAAAGACCTTCTAAAAAGATAAATGATGGACACCTTTCAAAAGTCATTACACAACAATGAATGAATGGAATCCCAAAATCTCTGTAGATGTTCATTGAAATGAAAAATAAACAACCTAAATTAAAAAAAAAAGTCATTACGAACACCTCAAATGAAAAACATAACACAAAGATTGTAACTGTGGTAGTTCAGTAGGTAGTTCTGATCTACCAGTTGCTCTGTGGAAGAGAAAGATGGGCGACCTCCTTCCCTGCTTCTGAAAACCCACTGGAGGGTCAGCCATGGGTTTATTCTGACTTGATGGTACGTAACCACCACCACCTTCTCAAAACAAATACAGACCAAGGCTAATGTTAATCCTCTTGGCCCGTTCATATCAGTCTTGTTCAGAAAGGCACACTGAATCATAGGGTCGGAAAAGACGAGAGGGGCAATTAAGGTCAAGCTCAGAGATTTTATATCCACTAATTAAGCCAACAAATATAGGCTTTATCCTGATAAAAAACAAAAAATAAATTTCTTTTTAACACTGATATATTATTTCTTATAAATTTTAAGACATATAAGTAACCATAGTATCAATAAAAGAAATAACAACAACAAAAAGAAGTAACAGATGTGGATGACATTAACAACTAGAAATTCTCCCCTCACAATCTGTTTACACAGGGGTCCAAATTCAAGGCACCAGCTTTAGGGAAGTCTATTTCTCAATGTTGGAAAAAGAGCCTTGTCTCTTTTCAACATCTGTGGGCCTAGTGACCCTTGGAGACCCCCACGTGTCTTGATATCAATCCTTCCCTGGCTCTAGGAGGACAGGGACCCTGGGTTCAAAGGATACACACTGATCTTGGCCTTTCTTTTGTGTCAGTAATAAGGTCACCTGATCTGTGTTACCCTCTCTCTCCTCTCATCTCTTAAAAGATAAAAAGTGATGCAGGTCAAATCCCATGGAAACTTCTTTACCTTTGATCAGGGCTCTCACTGGCCGATCACCTCAGACCATACCAGGCAGCATCATTACCTCATGACGTGGCTGCCCAACCACTGAGAATCATGGCCCAGCCAACCTAACACACATTTGGAAGGGGCGGGGTTTAACCCATAACAAATAGTAACATTTGAAAATCGTATTCCATTGTAAGTGCTGTAATATACAGTGGCCTCAAACGTGGCACCACCTATTAAGAGGCACAGACCTAATGCACGTGCAAACATGTGAAGGGTAAAGGTCAGGGAGAAAGCAGGAAAAGCAGAGTGCGGCTCACGCTTGGCAAAAACAGCAAAAATCTAAGACTAACACAAAAAGCATTCATTTATATGATTCATTTATATATAATCTCTGAAAAGGTGAAAGAAAACAACTCTTACTTAAAGACATCAAAGTTATGAACTTCCGCTGTACAGATGCTGTGAAATTCTGTATGACAGATTTCTCTTCTAGTCCAGGTAAGAGTGTATATTTGCTTAAGATTCGTGTGTTAAATGTTTGTAAATAAGCAAAATAATTTCCATGCTGCCAAAAGAAAGAGACATTTTATTTTATAAACATTTTCATTTCAACACATTATCTTTAAATATGGCAAAACCAGAAATTGTTTTCTTATAACTTTGATGACTACTTAAATTTTCTTTTCTCCAATTAAAAGCTGTAACAATATTTAACTCAAGCATTTTAATGGCTCTGCTTAACAAACTTTTTAGTATTTAAAAAAATTTTATAAAATATCTGAGAATGATGCTGAGGTCTAATTTTAGTTTCAAAATAATGCAGGAACTCAGGATATCACTTACTTTTTCAGTAATAAAAATTAAAACAGGATGCTTAAATAGCAGGGAAAACTTTGTCCACCTAAAAATAATTGAAAGAAAAATTACAAAATGCAAAGTAACCATTCAAGAAAAATATAATGTCAATCTAATTGTATAAGAGCATTTTTTAGTAAACATTTTTCAGGGCTGGAGAACCATCAGAAAACAAACCTGAATTGCTTGCTGAAACTGAAGAGGACCTGAAGCACCTGCTGCAGAGGGTCAAGGACTGCAGCCTACAATATGGATTGAGGCTCAATGTCAAGAAGACAAAGATTCTCACCACTAGACCAATTGGCAGCATCAGGATGGATGGTGAAGAGGTTGAGATTGTACACAGCTTTAGTTTGCTTGGCTCCAGTCAACACTCTTGGCACCAGTAGCCAGGAAATTAAAAGGCGCATTGCCATGGGAAAGTCTGCTGTTAGGGACCTCTCCAGAGTACTGAAGAGCAATGGTATCTCCATGGAGACTAAGGTGCATTTGATATAGGCCATGGTCTTCGCAATCACTTGTTATGCATCAGAGAGTTGGACAATGACCAAGGAGGATAGAAGGAGAATTGATGCCTTTGAGCTGTGGTGCTGGAGAAGAGTATTGAGAGTACCATGGACTGCTAGGAAAACAAACAGATTCGTCCCAGAAAGGGTTAAATTGGGTGGCTCCTTGGAGGCAAGGATTCTGAGGCTCCGTCTAACATACTTTGGACATGTTGTGAGGAGAGACCGGTCCTTGGAGAAGGATATCATGCTTGGGAGGGTGGAGGGACAGTGCAGGAGGGGAAGGCCCTCTATGAGGTGGATTGATTCAGTGACCAAGGATACTCGGGATGGGAGTGTCAGAGACAGTGCGATTGGCACAGGACAGAGCAGAGTTTAGGGCTGTTTTACATAGGGTCGTTATGAGTCGCAGGCGACTCGACGGCACATAACAACATCAACAATAAGGAATTAGCAGTTCTTTCTCTGCCAAATTCATCTCTGGATTAAACACAGGCTGCTAAACTTCCCAGAGCCTTGAAGATGTTAACATGAACTGTCCTGTTCTAAGAAGAGGGTAAACTATTGGAATCTTTTGCCTCTGTTTTCAGTTGCGTTTGGGACTAGTGTTGTAGGAAAACATTAAATCCTCATCTGCCTTCTAGATATACAGTGGGAATAGATACACTGCTTTCTTAATATACAGTGGGAACATGCAGAGATGTCTAAGGGCCTATAGCTTCTCACACCTGAAGATTCTTCCAACAAGAGAGAGTCATAAGGCCAATCTAAGCTCTAATTGGTCATCACCTACACTGTTCACTTACTAAGTACAAGTCTGTCTGCTGACTTTCAATTTGAGAAAGAAGACGCCTCAAGACATTATCGCGATTTTCCTACAAACAAGTTTCTTTAGGGGAAAAAGGCTGTGAGCTTGGCAGTAGAACAACAGGATATATACACAGACTTTTGTCTTTCCGACTCGCTCACTTCATCTTCACATTATCTATCCGAACAGGACTAATGCAGGACCCCTCCTTACCGGGTCATCACCACCCTGCGGCTTCTGTTGTTAAATGCCCTCCAGCTGAGTACGATTTGTTACTTTGGGCTTATAACCAGTTTTGATTTATACCACTGTTGACAAAGTTTTACCCTAAATAGTTATGAACGAGACAAAGAAAAGACGTAAAAGATGAACAACAGCTGTTCATTTTGGTGGGAACTTACCTAATGATTTCTTCATCAGAGATCACAGTTTCGATCTTCTGCTGCGGTTCTGCAAGCAAGGCCTCCAGACCACGGACTGCACCTTTCTTGAACAGCACTAGAGGTTCTGTCCCTTGTACTGAAAGTATCCTGTACACCTCAGCTGACAACTGTGAGAACATAAGTAAATCCAAGTTTCATTCTAAAAGAATCACCTACCACCTAATCTAATAGAGGAAGGAAATTACAGAAGCTTCAGGTTTTTAGGGTTCGAATCTAGAAAACAAAACAAAACACAAGTCTAACTTCTGTGCCTATCTCCTCTACTCTCTGCCCTGTCTTGTCCCATATGCAAACTCCCTGGTGCTGCTGAGCCGGTTCTGACTCAGGGCAATGCTCCTTCACATTTCTGAGACGCTAAATCCTAACGGAGGGAGCCAGGCCAGCTTGTCTGTCTCCCTGGAGACCCGTGACCCTTGTGATAGTGCACCACTTGCTACGGACTAAGATCCCAGCACTCCCTGTCTTGTCCACAGATAGACATTTTATTTTTGGTTTATCCTTTCATGTGTTCTTCCCTCATCAGGTAACTGACTTATACATAAATCCAAAGGGAGCACACTGTATATACTTTTTGGCAACTTAGATCACCCACAGCAGTATACATACATTTCCCACTCCAAATGGCTGATTTTCAAAGTAAAACTGTGTAATTTTGTACACAACCTGAGGTATGGCTTTGGGTTTCTAAGAATTCTTCCAGAAGCTTCAAGCGTTAATTACTGCTTTGTCAGGTTATGCCATCGGCCAAGTAAAACACATGCAAACAATCATCACCAGCACAACGACACCTGGATTCCACAGCATGCTCAGTGGTAGCAGTTATCAACATCATAAAGTGATGACTCTATTTCTACACAAATTGTGCAGCATACAGGTTGTGCTGATGTGTGGAGGCACAGGTGTGGACTAATATTTATTGTGTTTGGGATGAACATTTTTCTAAGTAGTATAACACTGGTCTGTCAATTTGCTGTACAGAGGTAACTCGGGGTTGCTGTGATGCCAAACACTGTTGACACCGATTTGTCAAATGCAATAATGGTTACCCATGGTGGGCAGTGCTTGGTGGAGCTCCTTGAGTAAAACAAGGTTGGATGCAGGAGTGGCATCCACTTCCTAAAGAGGTTGCCTCGAGGAGCTCTGGTGGCCTAGTGGCAAGAAGCTGCACTGCAATCCCAGAGGTACGCAGTTCAAATCCACCAGATGCTCTGCTGGAGAAGGAGGGGCAATCTCCTCCTGGACCAGTCAGATCCGATTTGACGGAACACACACAAGAAAATAATAAAATAAAAATTAAAAAGAAAAGAAAGTGCGTGCCTCTGGAAACTTTATGAACTTAAGAGAAATGATGATAGTTATACAACAGGGTTCAGATCTTTTGTTCATAGGGTCGCTATGAGTTGTCCTCAACTTGACAGTACTTAACACCAACAACATCATACACATTGTTGGTATTTTATTTTGTTTTGCAAAATGACTTAACTCCCTCAACGATAAGCCTCCTAAGTGCGCTGCGGCAAAATATGGCATATAATCTAAGTGTCTGATACACAATACCACCACTTTCACAAGTTATTATTCAGTCAATTTTGACTGATGCAGTCCATGTGTTTAAGAGCAGAACTGTGCTCTACAAGGTTTTCAATGGCTCTGATCTTAAGGAATTACTAGGCTTTTCTTCAAAGGCACTTCTGGGTCGGTTCAGTTAATCTTCTAGTTAACTGTGTCACCATGGGTTTCTTGACATACACTCCAAAAATCTTCACTGCCAGTGAATTAGTTCTAACTCACAGGCATGCTATTTCTGAGGCTTTCAACCTTTACGGGAGGAGACTGTCCATCTTTCTTCCAAAGAGCAGCTGGTGGATTCAAAATGCTAGCCTCTCAGGCTAGTAGCATGGTATTTTTCAAACTATTCTGCCATGGCTGCTTCCTAAACACCTAGTAAACACTTATTATAAAGGCACTGAAATAGAATTTCTACTTTCATAATAAGTGACTGAAATATAGCTCTACTTTCTTTCTTTCATTTTTAAAAAATTTTTAAATATATATTCTCTGCTCTCAGCAAAGATCTATTTGACATTGGCTGTGATGTCCCTATTGCCACAACTTTTTGTTTTTGGTTTTTTCCCCTACTAGTTTATTTACAAAATTAGAATACAAATTTGAATAAATTCTTTCCATTTCCCTCACCCCCCCAAAACTCTACTTTCTTAACAAATTGTTGTTGTTAGGTGCCACTCAGTTGAGCAACCCTATGAATGAAAGATCTGAATTCTGTGACCCTATGAACAATAGATCTGAATCCTATCCTATCCTGTACCATCCTGTCAGGTGATAATAAAATATCGCCAAATTATTTAATCTCTATGAACCTCAATATCCTTATCCGCCAAGGAAAAGATGTGTATGAGGTAACTTCAAGTGTCTGAAGCATAACAGATTTTTCCATAAACAGTAGCTCTTATTAATTTAACATATTCATTTCATGGATGTAAACACTTAAAGTGTTAAAACTGGCTAAAACACTATGAATGCCAGAGTTCAGACTGGAACCTGAGTGGGCCTCTCAAAATTAGTGGTGGGAGGTACAAATAAAGCCATTGATGAAATGAAAAGCAGCTTTAGTGTTAGATGAAGACTGAAGCCCACAAGCCTAAGAAAAGACATGACATTGAATGCAGGGTGAAAAATCCCACCATGTAAAATTCACAACTGTGTTACTTGCAAGTCTAGAAGTTTCAAAGGCCGAAGTACCAATTATACAGAGAATCAGGCTTTGGGAAAAAAAACTTGCCTCGTTTGAGCTGCTCATATTACAGGTAAGAAAAATTAATTCATATATTCAGTTGTTAGTACAAAGGGCAAAGCTAGTAATAGTTTTATTTTTTTACAAGCACCATTTTTCACTCTTAAAAATAAACAATATGGGAAATTTGCAGAATGTATGGATGGAGAAGAGATTGAGGTTAACAGTTATAGCTTGCTTGTCTCCACAATCAACACTTTTGGCACCAGCAGTCAGGAAATAAGCTAATTTTGCATTAGGTAAATCTGCTGTCAGGGACCTTTTCAGAGTCTTGAGAAGCAACAATGTCAGACTAGAGACTAAGGTGCGCTTGATCCAGTCCATGGCCTTTGCAATTACTTGCTATGCATCAGAGAGCTGGATAATGACTAAGGATCATAGAAGAAGTGATGCCTTTGAGTTACGGTACTAGAGAAGAGTCTTGAACATACCATGGACCACCAAGCAAATATAAATAGGTCTGCCTTGGAGAGAACAAAACCCAGTTTCTCCTTGGAGTCTAGATTTTGAAGCTCCATCTCACATACTTTGGGCATGTTGCTGGGAAGGACTGATCCTTGAAGAAGGACATCATGCTGGAAAAGGTGGTGGGAGCGCGCAAGAGAGGAAGACCCTGGATGAGATGTATATTGATACAGTGCTAGGGCAACGGGTAGGTGTATCAGGGTCAGAAAGACTGGCTCAGGACAGGGCAGGCTTTAGAACTATTGTATGTGTGTGTGTATATATATATATATATATATATATATATATATATATATATATATATATATATATATAGTCTACGAGTTGCAGGGCACTTGAAAGCATGTAACATTCTATTTTAATACATTTAACATGAGATTCAATTGCTCTCATAAGAGACAGACCTCAAATGTTGATACTCACAGAAATAACGACAAACGTGTTACACATGAATGATTTAGATCACAAACCTCAGGGGATGCTGAAGACTATCTTTTTTTAACATGAAAACTCATGAACTGAGATAGCACCAAGATATATTGTAAGTTAATGAGAATGAAGAACTAATGTTAATTTTCAAGATTGCTTTAAGAGGTATTAAGATAAAAAATACGTTACAACCCATGTTTATCACAGCTTTGTTTACAATAGCAAGGAGTTGGAAACAACCTAAATGCCCATCAACAAACGAATGGGTAGAGAAGCTGTGGTATATTCGCACAATGGAATACT